CTTCTTATCTGTCTCAAGCCCAAATCATACAGAGTATTTTCACATGCGGTGTTCATAATGCACAAGCAAAACCTATGCTGATGTTATATTCTGTACATCTAATTTGGCACATGTGTGTGTTTGTGTAATTCATATATATATGAATTAAAAGGAACTTCTTAATCTGTCTGAAGCCCAAATCATACAGAGTATTTTCACATGCTGTGTTCATAATGCACAAGCAAAACCTATGCTGATGTTATATTCTGTACATCTAATTTGGCACATGTGTGTGTTTGTGTAATTCATATATATATGAATTAAAAGGAACTTCTTAATCTGTCTCAAGCCCAAATAATACAGAGTATTTTCACATGCTGTGTTCATAATGCACAAGCAAAACCTATGCTGATGTTATATAGTATACATCTAATTTTTCTTCTGTCTAATTTCATTGAAAAATATAGAGTAAGAGAAGTTTGAAAGAACATTTATTTATTTTTTAACCTGCAATCTGCCTGGAGTCTCAGTAGGAAAGATGGGCTATAAATTAAGTAAATAAATAAATAGGACACTGCAGAGTGTGGCTACGAATCAAAGTTTTGGCTTGGACTCCCATACCCCTACATTGAGGGGTAGTACTGAGTAATTCCTTTGGAACAGGAAGAACACTGTCTGGGAAAAGCTGCCATCTTTAAAAGGAAGAGACAACGATGGAGACAAACCCATTTGACAAATAATAGACAATATATTCATTAGACTTCATCTTAAGAGTCTTGTGGCAGTTCAGAGACGTAAACTGTTGTAAACCAGACATCATTCTAATCCATGGAAGTTAATCCCTCAGTACAGTGCACTCTTAAGCACATGTACTCAGAAGTAAATCCCACTTAATTCAATGGAACTTAAAAGGTAAAGGTAAAGGTTCCCTTGCTCGAAAGGCAGTCGAATCCGACTCTAGGGTTGCGGTGTTCATCTCCGTTTCAAAGCCGAAGAGCCAGCGCTGTCCGAAGACGTTTCCATGGTCATGTGGCCGGCATGACTAAACACAAGGCACATGGAACGCTGTTACCTTCCCACCGAAGTGGTACCTATTTATCTACTTGCAATTTCTTGCTTTCGAACTTCTAGGTTGGCAGGATCAATGGGACTTACACCTTAGTAAATGTGCTTAGGAAGAACTTCAGCTTTAGTTTTTAAGGTGCCACAAGACTCTTTTGTGCACTTGCTGATATATTCTATCACAGAAAACTTTGTGGGATTTGTTCTAATCTGTATAATACACAGTTTCTGAAAAGGAGATAAAGCAGTGAGGAAGAATGATTAAATGTCTGCAAAATATATTGAACTTCGTTTATGTGCTTGTGACCATTATTGATTTTTATGGTAGTTCATGCAGATCTACTATGAAGTATAACGGTAATTCTATATGTATAGTATATGTATCTTTGCACACATATATAATCCACTGCTGACTGAAAGAAAAATCTCTCTGACCGATTTCACACAAGAGCTGCACCGCGGCCACGCCTCCCCTTGCCCCACTTCTATTGGTCAATTTCCCACTCAAAGCTACACTGCCACATTTTGACCCGCGGCTTCGCCCAATTTTCCCCGCGGTTTCGTGATCCTCGAAAAACAGGATCACGGAACCGCACGGAAAATCGGGCCAAGCCGCGAGCCAAAATGCGGCTGTGCGGCTTCGAGTGGAAAATTGACCAATAGAAGCGGGGCAAAGGGAGGCGTGACCACGGCACAGCTCTTGTGTGAAATCGGTCTTTGTGTTTGACTTCAGTTTCTAGCACTGCAAGTACAGCTCTCAGTGTCCCCAGTTTCACCAGGGGTCCTACGTGTGCAGATGCAATCAGCGGCATAAAGGAGCCTCCTATATACTGAAGGAATGCAGAGGAAAAACCCACATTTCTGCAAGCTTATATTCTGTCAGCAATTGTAAGTCACACGGGACAGTGCCCAGGCATCAGCCTGCAGCTGCCCTGGCCTGGCAAGTAGTATGAACAGGGGCGGATTCACCATGAAGCAGACTAGGCACGTGCTTAGGGCACCAGGCCCAAAGGGGGCACCACAAAGTTGGGAAAAGGCTGAAAAGCTTAGTTCGGT